ATTGGTACATAAGGAAGAAAATATATAAATATGTGTTAAAAATGAATATAGAGGGTAATAATGTATGGAGGAAATTGCAGGAATAATGTTTCAAGACATAACAACAGTGTTGCTGGATCCGAAGGCCTTCAAAGATACAATTGATCTATTTGTTGAGAGGTACAGAGACAAGAACATCTCAGTGGTTGCAGGTATTATCTCTTTCTTTCTCTTTGCAATTCATAATTCTTATTACTTTTCTAAACATTGGATGTAGTGTAATTTCGATGGATTTACTATTTAAAAGATTCGACCTAATTGAGTGAACTCGATTTTTTTATTGTTTTCAAGATTTTCCGGGGAAAAAGGTAGGTAGGTCATGATTTAAGTGACATATAGAAAAAAAACATTTTTTTCTCACCTAGGTTAATTTAGTGTATTTTTGGTGCGTTGTAGTTAGTTAAATCTTTCTTCTTTTCAGTCAAATAATCAAATGGTAATTAGTAAAATCTTTCAGATATAATTTACGGTCTAGTTTTTGTATTCGCAAATCTTTCTTTACATTGTACTTTGATGGAGAATATTACTTGGAAGTTGGAATAGACATCTCAATTTGGTAGCTCAACTTGGTTATTCGAAAGTGGTTGCTGTTTTTAATGTCCAATTGTATATTTTAATTAAAATCTGTTGTTCTTGCTTTTGCATGTGGTTGTGTTTGTATTTATATATGATTATATAAAATCTTTTGTTGAATTTATGTTTGAATTATACTATCTGATATCACAATTTGAAAGTCGGATGCAAATGGAAAGAATATACGGTTCGTTTTGTTTGACGTTTGTGTTTTTTACTCACGCAACGCAGTTGTAAAACTAGAAGTATTTTTTTTTCAAATGTAAACGCAAATAAGTAAATATTTTATTTATCAACAAAAAAAGATTAATATTTTCGTTAATACCGTTTATTCGATCAAACTTTTGGTTGAGACAAGACTGTCTCTTATCTCTGAATTCTAATCTTTGTGTGTGATTGAGTGATTGAATGAGATTGATTGCCTGGATCATTCTTCCTCCTAAATCATATAAGAGAAAAGTTTAGTTTTCTATATTCTTCTACCTTTTAAAAGCTTATAATTGTTGATCTTGCTTCTATGAAAAAAGTGTTTGTGTTTGTGTGTGTGTGGTGGGTATTGTTTGGATAGATGGGTAGTTGAGTGATGGATGTAACCTTTTAAAAAGAGTTGGCCCCAAAAAAACTTGATTTGGGTTTTCTTTCTTTTTCTATCATCATTGTTTTAGCCAATTCTTTTCTTCTCTCTTTTTCTTTATGTCTCTCTTCTTCTATGTAATGAAGTACAAAAGCTTTTTCTATTGTTACTGTTGTTAGAATGTGAAGTATGACGAAGTACATCATTTCTTTTGTTACTTTCAACCCTGCATACTATTCTCTTTTTTTTTTTGTACAAATAATATTCTTTTCTTTTTCTTTCCTTGAAAATATATACTTTTTTTGACATGCCTATTCAAATCACTAGAATTTTGCCTACACAAATTTAATAGGAAAATCGAAAAAGTATCAAAACAATACAAACTCATTTAATTTATACCAAAATATAGCGGAAAACCATGAAAACTCGATGAAAATCTACTGCTTTAACATTTGTAATTTGAGTCTTCTCTTTCGAGTTTGTATTTAAATACTTGTCATAAAGACCGTGTTGAAGTAAGTTTTTATATGTGCATACCACATGGTACGGAACATAATTAACAAAAAAAACGTATTTTAATTATGATTCCATCTTTTTTTCTTAGTTAAATTATTTTAATAGATAGATAAGGTATCATTGGTTAAAACATCTTATTGGGTTTGTTGTTGGGATATACATATCTAAACTACTTGTAACATTCGACCGTATCTTTTGTGTTAGTGCTTTAGAATCTGTCTATTGGGTATGTTGTTGGGACAGGGTCGTTCTTTAGCTTTTCTTCTGTACCTATGTTCTTGATAATTAAGACAGTTGTAACAGCTTGATAAAAAAATACATCATTCTGTTTACATTCTAAAAAAGTATAATACTTACAATTATTGTGATTTATGCTAAATTATGCCTTATTTTCCTTATAACATAACCGTTTGCATTACATCCTTTGGTGTCATTTCAGGAATAGAGGCTCGCGGTTTCCTATTCGGGCCACCAATCGCATTAGCCATTGGAGCAAAGTTCGTTCCTCTTCGGAAACCCAAGAAATTGCCAGGTTCTTTTAACTTTTTATACTTCTCATATAACTTATGTAAGAAATAATACCAATGCTAAATGTCTAACATATTATTAGTTTATGGTTATAACTTTTTTTTTTTTTCGCCAAAATTATGGATATAACTTACATGGCGTAAAATGTAACTAGGTGAAACAATATTTGAGGAATACGAGTTGGAGTACGGAAATGACCGGCTAGAGATGCATGTAGGAGCCGTCGAGGCCGGAGATCGAGCTTTGGTCGTTGATGATCTAATTGCGACCGGTGGTACTCTCTGCGCCGCCATTAACTTGCTTGGTAAACTCCTTAAGCTATATGGAAAAGCCAATTGAGTACACTTCTTAATTCTAAGCCTAACCAAATTGAAGAAATATTCGGTACTCTTTTTTTTTTTAATTGTTTTGGCATTTTTTGAATCGTGTCAGAGAGGGTTGGAGCAGAAGTTGTGGAATGTGCATGTGTGATCGAGTTACCCGAATTAAAGGTTTGCTGTCGTGAAATTTAATACATTATATTCGAAATAATAAATTGAGATCTTCTATATTGGTGTGACATTTATTTTGTTTGAGGTGGGAAATTAAATTTTTGCAGGGAAGGCAGAAACTCAAGGGGAAGCCATTATGTATGCTTGTGGAGTACCGATGATATAGCTGAAATGTTTGGATTAATGATGGTTAATTAATTTTTGGTTAAGCGCTGAGAATTCAGATTATGCAGACTTATTATTGGATTATACAATATTTCCATTTAAATTCTGGCGGATTAGCTGGAACAATGATAATCCAAAGTTCTTTGCCCTTAAAAAAAGTATATGTTACTCTTTTTTTTTGTCAACACATTTTACGAACTTTAGGTGGTGAGTATCATCATTAACACAAAGTCACAAACCACTATATCACTACATGTTAATTTATAGCTACACATCATTATATACAAATCAGATTAAAATAGTTATCGTCTTTGGAGTAAATTTAAACATAGAAGGTAAGATCAATGTGACTCTGTAGATATATATGCACACACATCATTACACATTTAGTCATTTATGGCTTATATGGGTTCGAGATGGTGGACATAGGTGACTATTATATTATATATATATACTGATATATACTCATAGAAAAAGTGTTGTCTGATTCCACCAAAAGAGAAAACGAAGAATGTAAACCTTATTCCTCTGAATCTTGCTTTTACCTACCCTTTTCTGTAATCAAAACTTCAAAAGTTTTCCATTTCTGAAAGCAGAAAACTTTCGTTTATCTAACAGCAGATAAATTAGTTGCTTTGATATTTTCAAAACAAAATTTCTTAACACATGCACAGACTCAATATTAACTAGCAAATATGTAAACACCAACACAAAATTTTGACAAGACCACTTGAAAAGTTAAAACTACCATTCTTTTTTCTTTTGGGAGTATATAGTGTCCGCTTTATCAACTGTGACGTAGGAATTCGAACCATACGTGCAACGGTGCAAGTCGGTGGTGACTTTTACGAGAATATACCATTACGGGTAATTAATTATAGTTTTTAGTTTTTATCATTCAACCGTAAAATAGAAAAACATTACTATTTACTATTTAGCCAAGTTATGAAGTAAGACATTGAGTATTGTTAGTAATGTATGATATTACTCTCTTGTTCTTGTACCGAACTTTCTTATGACAGTAATATTCTATATATATGCTGAGTTCTATATATTTATATATGCATTATAACATTATTATAGGAGACAAATATATAATTTCCGTAGGTCAAGAAGACAAGAGCTATGATTAGGATCTCCATTTGATATTGTAATTATGGATCATCATATATAGTCTTCCACCCAATTTTGTTTGCCATGATTATGTTTCTGCGATCACATTTTCTGAAGTCAAACTAGAACACATAAATATCCATCCCCACAAAAAAACAAAAAGAGTCAACAAAATAAAAACTTAAGCAGTGACCGTGCGTGCTTTTTTTTTCTTTGTTATTGAAAGATTTAAAAATACTGATTTACATTAGTTATTTATGCAAACAAAATTATTTTATTTTAAATAGCAAGAAATGAAGGTAAACAAGAGTAAGCATTCAAACAAAAAAAACATTGGATCATAGAGAAATTTGCAAAGACTCATGGGAACAGAAACACCATGAATCATAAGAGAAACAGTAAGAATTTTACCAAAATCAAAACGCGATGGGATGAATCCCTGTTAAGACATTAATCCATATGCTATTAATAAATCAAGAACCATTAAATTGTCGTTTGCAATCAACGATCCACACAAGGATTGATTTTAAGTCTTATATATGTTCACAATACTCTTATAACATCGATATTTGTTGGCTAGGAGTTGCTTTTCTATGATTGGTTGATGCACATTCTCAAATAATTGTGGTACGCAGTTTACCATAAGTTTTAATCTATGATTAATCTATTTCTTACAATAAGAATATCCTCGGATAAATAAACCAAATGCTGTAAGAAATAAAGATAAATTAACTAAATGTATAATTCCTAAATCATCATTCCAAAATCTGTAAATCCATTAATTACCTTTGAAATCGTAAAATCCAATTCACACATAGCAATAGGTACATCAAAAGAAAAGCTAAAAAACAATGTTTAAAAAAAATAATTAAGCAAGAAAGGTCATAGATCTTATCTTAGAAGAAAAAAATGAAAGAAAAACAACTAAAAAGCCGATAAAACACACAATATACTCCAGTTATTTAAAAGTGAATATTTGACAAAAAAAATTAAAAGTGAATATGAAAAATATATTTAAGTCCGAATATAATCCGAAATTATTTTACAATCTGAAAATGATTAGAAAACAAGGCAAAACCGCACGTGTATCAAAGACATACAACTCGCCGTCACGACCCGTTACTGAGTCCGACCCGAACCCGACTCTACTAGCAACCCGACCAGCAATCACCCGACAAATCATCATCGCCCTCCTTCCTCCGCCTCCTCCGCCGCTCGCATGCGCTTCACCGCTACACGAAAACGTACACACAGCCTGCCCTTTCCCGCCGGAGAAAACCCACGCGCCGTCGTTGATCCCGTCCGGGAGTGGATAAAACCTCATCATCTCGTTACCGTCGGCCAAGCACCGTGCGTCTTCTTCGCACGTGCCGACGCGTTCCACGTTTACACCCGCACGTGACTTGACGACCTCTCTGTACTCCTCGAAACGGGTCACAGTCCTTGACCCGTTTTCAACTTTGAAAATCATCTCGATCCGACCCGGAAATCCATCGGAGCTCCAGCTAGACTGGAATATAATCTCCACTACGTTCCTTGACGGATGGCCACCGGGCAGCTCGGTCAGCGCGTCGGATTTTCGGGCAGACTTGCTCCGTCGGGTCCGGGTAGGCGGGTTAAGCTCCGATTCGGTTCGACAAGACTTCAAGCGCCTTAAATTCGGGTCGGGTTTCGGGTTTTTCTTACACATTCGTGTGTCGATCACGTCTTTGACGAAATGTGAGCTCTTTCTACAACTGTAACTCGACAATAATGGTTTGCTGACATCATCGAAAGCTTTTGATTTGCATTGTAATGATTTGATCCACCCGTGTGGCATGTTCGGGTTTCGGATCCGGATCCTTATTCGCTCCAGGAGAGTCTCGTTTTCTCTCTTTTCTCTGCAGAAGTTATGATGTATCTGTGAACAATGGGCGCGAGTGTTTTATTCTGATCGCTGCATTTACGAGTTTTACCTTTTTCCCTCTCTCTCCTGGGCCTGGCCCATGTTAACGTGGGTAAATCAATACGAAAATATGATAATATTTCGTTTAATTTGGTTACTCAAAGTCTCAAACATATAACGGATCGAAGAAATGTATTTTGAGTATTAGTATTTGGATTTTTGTGTGTATACGTGTGACTGATTTGATGATAAGCAATTTACTTTTGATTTTCTTAAAAGTTACTATTCAAAGAAGGAATTAAATTTATGATAGTAGGAGGCAGAGTGGTAAAAGAAGTTAGGTGAAAGAACCACGAATTTGTTTTCATTTAATGAGGAAAGCAAATTGACGATGTGTTTCCTGCTAACATATCAAGAACTGAATGATTTAAGTTCGTTGTCGGGTGTTATTTATTGAGATATGACCATAACTAACTAGAAAGACAATGTAGTCATAAATAGAAAATTCAATTAAACTTACTGTAGTGAAAGAATAAGGTAAAATTTACTGTAGTGAAAGAATAAAAGAATAAGAATAAGGTAAGGGAATAAGTAGGATTGATTCTAGTTTTTTTTTTTTTTAATGTACAGAAAATATCTTCATTGCTTTTTAAAAGAAGGGAGAGAAGAAAAAAACAATTACAGTTTTCTTCAAAAATATTCAATATCTAATAAACTATGATAACATTGGAAATTAAAATATCATATTTTTATTCTTTGTACAGTACGTACACTTCTTACAAGTTTGAAGAAAAATATTGAAATACAGCATAAAAAGGGATTTCTGTAATGAATTTGGCAATAGTTTATATATATTTTGGTGGTGATATGATGGACTCTATTCTCTATGAGCTTAACGAAGAAAGGCCCAAACCAAATGTCTATACGATTGGATAATTTTCTCATCTTCAAAAAAAAAAGCGAGGGAAGCGACGCCGTTTCATTACACTTGTGTTCATAATTAAAAATCTCTTTCGTCCCCTAAACGTCGCCGTTCGTATTGCCAAATCATCTCTATTATGTCTCCGTCGACGGCGCCGGTTTTCGTCGGTCCAATTCTCGCGGTGGATGCTGCCGTATCTCGCGTGATTCACACGGCGGCGAAGCCACTACTCCCGCCATTTCTCCTCCTCCTCTTAGAGATCTCCGCCGATTTCCGATTCTCCTTCCCCGTCTCCCTTTCTCTCCTCCTCTCCCCTCCTTTACGCCCTTTCCTCATCCCCTTCCTCCTCGGCCTCCTCTTCGATCTAATCTTCGTCGGAATCGTGAAGCTAATCTTCCGTCGCGCTCGTCCCGCTTACAATCATCCCTCAATGTCCGCCGCCGTATCCGCTGATCACTACTCGTTTCCCTCCGGCCACGCATCTCGCGTCTTCTTCGTTGCCGCTTCCGTTCACTTCTTTACTTCAGTCGCAGAAGCTTCCATGGTTGATCCGAGCTACTCCTTCTTAGACGGATGGGTCAGAGATCATCGTGATGGGGAAGTGAAGGGAAATGTTGTGGTGGGTGTATGGATCTGGGCAACAGTGACCGCCGTTTCAAGGATTCTCTTAGGGAGACATTACGTGCTCGACGTAGCTGCTGGTGCTTGCTTGGGGATTCTAGAGGCTCTCTTTGCTCTTAGGTTTCTGAGATTTGAACAGATCTTTGGGAGGTAAACAAAAAAGTATCAAAAATGTAATCTTTGTATCAGTTTGTTGATTCACATTCTTGCTGTAATATTTGTGACATGAGAGATTCAAGCTTTGAAATTGTTTTCTATTTCTTTGAAGAATCAAAGTTTGTTCCTTTTTTGTTTTCACTACTGGCTCTTGTATGAAATCCTGTGTTTTATGATTATGATCCTTACTCATCATGTTACAATTTCAACTTAATTGATGTAAAATTTGAAAACTGAAAGGCTAAACCTTTTTTCACATCCTGATACATTTAGTTCCATATGCAAATTCTGCTATTGTTACCTGAACATGGCCTTGTACCAGGATCATCTGTGAGCCATCTAAATTCTTTGGAACAAAGAGGTTGTGGATGAATATAATCTCTTTAGTTTACTTCGTACAGCTTTTACCATGTTCTTTCTATCTATGTAACTTCTCTCCGGTTGTTTTCGAGCTGCGACAAGATAAATAGAGGAGAAAAGCACTGGCATGTGGAATGTTGGGAGTGAGACCATGACTGATTGATTAGATGTTTTGCGTTACTGTGAACATGTTATGCTTGCTAATATCTGTGGCTCCTCTGCGTCAGGGAATATTTCCTACCTATGAGTAGGTTTCTTTTGCTTTGCTCTCTTTCTTAGTGTAGCCAACATGTTCTGTAATCTGTACTATGTTACAGTGTCTTTTTGGTTTATCGTCAGAAGAGAACTAAAATTGCCTGAGTCATATGATTCGTTCGACCGATGCCTTCTACATTCCCAATGGCATCGCTTTGTTGGATAGACTTTTGCAAGTTCGGCGGCAGGTTTTCACTATGAATCTTTGCCTTATGAGGCTATCTTTGGTTTGATATCTCATCTTCTGTTTAAGGTTGGTGAAAGTTATTCATATGCTAAGGCATATGCTTATAGGTACCAGTTTCAATTTTCAAAAGGTAATTTTAAGTACATCAAAGATTCAGTAGTAAGTTAGAATGTTTAAGGTTGCAGGAGGTGCTTGTGAAATTGGACCCACTTCTGGAATATGTAAGAGACTGTCTTCTACACTCGTGGAGCAAACTGGGCGAGAGAGATTTTTTTTTTTTTAAATAGCTATAAATCTATAATTGAAGCTTGAAGGAAAGGTGTGTATGATTAGTACTCCAAGATTGTTTCTTTCTTCAATATCTTTTTCACTTTCTAAATATTCCTCTACTCTTTATTTTTTTTTTGAAATTTAGAAGCTCACTATGAATGTGATTGATTGATAGTGACATCAAAAACTTGCTAAATTATCGCTGACAGAATTTGTTATGTGTCAGCTGTTTCTACAGCATTTCCTGCAGTGAACTCAGTTGGATTAGACTGAGAACACAGAGACAAGCTTAGATGGCAAAAGGAGGTATAAATCCCCAGTATGAAAATTCAATACATTTCTTACCGTAACAAAAATCTCTCATTCTTGGATCGGTTCTTGGTTAACCAAATAAACCCGAGTCCGGAACAGATTGCTTATGAGTTTGGAGTGAGAGTAGATCATTAATGAGAGTGTAGTCAATTATGGGATTGGTATGTGTTGTTTTCGTTGGTATTATGTGTGCTGCAAAAGTAGAGGCACACAACGTAGGATGGTACATCAAGAACAATGCCCACCGTTGGAAAACTTTTTTATTATGAGTTCACATGGTTCCTTCCTGTAGATTACACAAGGACATACCTTGTTTCAACCTTAATCATCACTTTAGATTTAGCCTCTTAAGTTTCTGTGGCTATAAAACAAATCCTCTTTTTAATATTTTAGTGTCTCCTCATCAGACCCTACCACCATCGTGAGCGACCCGTCGTAGATTTTTGACAAAATATTGGAACAAATCCAGTTTAATGATTAGCAAAAGAGAGAGAGTGATTAGGGAACAGTTAAATCACACACACGGAGAGTTAAAAAGAGAAAAAGAAAAGGGAGTGATCATTTGAGTTGAGAGGTGGTGATGGAACATAGTTGCAGTGAAATCTCCTTTACATCTGAGTGGCAGAGAGCTGAATGGGTGTGGTCATCTCTTTGTTACCATTTTTGAGGTGTATTATTGTTGTACTAGAGTTTCTTTTTTTTGCCCTTAATTTTGCAAGTCAAGCACTCCTGTGACTGTGACCTAACTCAGGTAAAAATAGGATCTGAAGCTAGAGAGAGAGAGTGAGAAAGAGAGAGGACTCTGATGCTGTTCTGAGTTCATCATTATCATGTCCTGCACTAACATCCCAAAAAAGGAAGAATTTTTTTTGAAAAGAAAATTTGATTGCAGACATGTGAGTACTTTTTTTTATAAAGAAAATCTGAAACAGAAGAGGATAGGACCAAACAACACACACCTTGTTGTTTTTCATTTGGGGCTTTTGTCTCATATTCTTTAGTGAAAGTTGATTATTTTGATCTCTCTCTTAATGTTTAAGGTTCTTATGAAGTATTTACATCTTGCAACTTAATCTAATTGTTGAAGCTTTGAATGGCCTTTCTGTACATAATAATTGCATGTCAGGAAAAGGTTTAAGAGCAGGAAATGGATTCAAAATATTGGTATTTCGTTAAATAACATAAAACTGAAAAATCGAAATGATTGTTTTCTTTTAAATTGTTTATGGGGTAATTGTGGGTTGTCCTCCACTTTCTAGTTTCTATAGAACTCGTTTTCTCATAAACAGTGTTTATATATATAGAGAGAGAACGAGGTGAAAAAACTGTATATGTATATATTGTTAGCAATTAGAAAATATGGAGATAATTCTTTAAAAGGACCACTGTGAGAGATTGGATTTTACAATAGCAGAGAGAACCTGAAGCAGAGAAAAGGTCAGAAGTGATGACAGACGTATATTTCTATTTAACTTTAATTTGCTAATATCTTTGTAGAGTTATTAATTTTACAAAAGAACAAAAAATGGATGGAATAGTTCCGGAAAACCAATAGCTTTCTTTCCTAGTTTTTTTTTTTGGCTCAACAACTACTCTTCACTAATCCAATTAGTTCTTAAACTGATGATTTTTCAACCTCAACAGAGTTTTGGACCCATAAAGGCACCATAGAGTTCAACTTAGGGACATAAATCTGAAAAGAAAGAGCCTCCTTGGGTATTCTATGTACCCACCAACTTAAAGCTTTGTTATGTTCCCTGATGGCCTGGATCTGCGGTTTGAGGGATGGCCATGCCTTCCCAATCAGCCGGAGCCTCAACTACTTCTCTAGCATCAGTTTCAAAAAGTTTTACAAAGCACCATTTATCAATTAACTAATCCTTTATTTGTGTGGATGAATTTGTGAATGAATTTGAATCTCGCAATCAATGTGTCGATAAATAATTTAATTAGGAATTGGAAAAATGTAGTAAATAATTTTGGGAACCAAAAGCATATTCCTCAATTTTATATTCAATTATTATATACATTTTTATTTAAAATTAATGCTAATGTAACGTCTTTTGTAAGAAAAGTGTTGTGGAGAACTTTCAAGGTTATCGTTTTTATAAAGGTTAATCCATAGTTTTGAGAAAAGGTTAACTAGTAACTACAAAACAATTCCTTATTCACGGCTCAGTTTTATTTTCTTCATCAAAGGCAAACAAGTGGCAACCCGACACAAACAATAAATATGAGAATTTTTTTTTCTCGTAACATTTTTTTTTTCCAACTACAATTTATAATTGAATTCAGTTCGAATTTGGATCAATGTTAGAAGAGAAGCTACCAGGAACTGAGACATGAGTTTAATATTCTCACAGCCCTAAACTCACTTCTGAACAGTGCTCACAACATTTCTTTTCATGATAGGCATTGTTTTTTTGCTAAAGTTAATAATATATAACTTAGTTTTTTTTTCTTTTCAAATCACCACCATTACTAAAAGGTTAAAAAATTTGATCGTAGAGTCATGGTAGCGATCAAAATGTAATTTTAAGCTTACAACACAATCGCAACCAATCAATCCTATAAAAAAACATAAAACAAAGTCGAAAACAAAAATTTACTATTTTGGTTGTTTAAAATATCGAAACAAGAAAGCTTTCGGTGTTTAGGTGATCTAAATAAGCCTTTAACAAAAAGGTGTTTAGGTGATCTAAATAAGCCTTTAACAACAAAAAAAAGTGATTTAGTATAGTGCAGACTGAGTCGTCCTTAGTATCAACTGTAAATTGAAGAGTTATTGTCACAATAATTTTTGTTATGAAAAGCGAAAATAGATATGGTATTGATAAAACATACAAATAATTCATAGTATTATGCAAATATCAAGAGATACTGGCATCATCACACATCGTTTTTTTTTTCCAATTCCCAAATGTAATTGTATTATACAATGCTCTAGTACATATGTGACTGAATTTAAAAATAAAAATAAAACAAAGGTAAAGAACTTTTGAATGAAAAACGAAGTAAGGTCACGTGAAACCTTCGCGAGTTGTAAGAATAAAGATAAAATACAATGACCTCTGCTGCTTTGTAACTTCGTACCTATTCTACTAGTTTAAGATTATATTTCTCATGTCTATTATCATTTATAAGAATATAATATTGTATCTTGGAAGTTGTAACTCAGACGAAAATATTGTGGTAGAACATTACAAAGGAGAAAAGAACTCATAAATTGATACTTCTTTTTTTTTTTGGTTAAAAAATTGATATTTCTTTCAAATGATGCATTTATTTTACTAAAACTAAATATATATAAGTTATTGCAAAATAAGCAGTTCACAACTTGGGAGTTTATTGCATTTTTAATGGATAATTGAGTGGGGGTGGATGAGTGTGTAATGTTGAGTACTTATGAAACATGGACTTGATATGCAAGCTTTTTATGTGTTGTTCATCTTCTTCTCTTGACCCACGTTTTTGCTTTTTATTTATCTCGATAATCTCTGCCTCCAATTGTGATTTTCTTGCGAAAGTTTCACATTTTAATTCATATATAACTTTCATTGGATTCCTTTATCTTTTTCAAATCAATGTTTTGTGTACATGTTGAAACATTCTATTGAAAATTATATTAAAAAGGTATTTTCTTTATCATAGTTGATAAACAAATTTAGATTTAAGTTTTTTTTGTGTGTGGTAATAGTTGCAATATATATTAATTTTTGCAACAATTGCAATCTTTTCCTAAAA